TGTAGGTATAGCTCACATTTATTTCAACGTTTACCAGGTAGAAGTGTTTGGGTCTTTATTTAGAAGTTTTGGTAATATTTTTGTGATCAGAAATATGCTGTGGGAATTTAACTCTTGCTTGTATCAATTACCCTAGGGTAAAATTGGTTTTGTTACATGTCGTTTTGCTTAAGTCAGAGTTTCCAAGAACTTATCAATAACAGGGAGTGAGGACTAACTATATACCAGGTCACAGGCTGTGGCCAGTGATTTGGCTGGATGGTCAGGGCCTTGGAAGGAACACAATCGGAAAATTGGTTGAAATCAAATTTGGGGAAGAGGCGTTGAATAGTCCTCTCTGAATGGGCAACACATGTGAAGATTTGTGTCCTCTGTGAATGCTCAGCGGAGGGGACCTCAGCCCAGGAGGTTGTAATAAGCAAGTGGATAGAGGGTTGACTATGGATTCCAGTCAGCCTCTTCCCCAGGCCCTGTCATCACCCAATGGGCTCGCGAACAAAGTGGCCATGGGGACAGGGTTGGAGGTTATTTATGGTTTTAGCAACATGGATTTCTAGTCACCGAGGCTGACCTGGTTACAGCCACAGCTGAGAGCCCAACTTGTCGACAGAAGAGACCAACAGTGAGTCCCTGATATGGCACCTTCCCCAGGGGATCAGCCAGCTACCTGGTGGCAGGTTGGTTACACTGGATCACTTCCATCAAGCAAGGGGCAATGTTTTGTTCTTACTGCAAGAGACACTTACTCTGGATGAGGATACACCTTCCCTGCATGCAATGCTTCTGCCAAAACTGCCACCCATGCCCTTACAGAATGCATTACCCACCACCCCGGTATCGGTGCAGCATTGCTTCTGATCTAGAAACTCAGTTCACAGCAATTGGAGCGTGGCACTGGGCCCAAGACCATGGAACTCACGGGTGTTGCGTGTTTCCTACCATCTTGAAGCAGGTGGCTTGTTGGATGGATGGAATGGCCTTTTTTTTTTTTTTTTTTTTTTTTTTTTTTTTTTTAAATATATTTTATTGATTTTTTACAGAGAGGAAGGGAGAGGGATAGAGTTAGAAACATCGATGAGAGAGAAAACATCGATCAGCTGCCTCCTGCACATCTCCCACTGGGGATGTGCCCGCAACCCAGGTACATGCCCTTAACCGGAATCGAACCTGGGACCTTTCAGTCTGCAGGCCGACGCTCTATCCACTGAGCCAAACCGGTTTCGGCTGGAATGGCCTTTTTAAAAATATGTTTTTATTGATTTCAGAGAGGAAGGGAGAAGGAGAGAAAGATAGAAACATTAATGAAGAGAGAGAATCATTGATCGGCTGCCTCCTGCACGCCTGACACTGGGGATAGAGCCCACAACCTGGGCAGGTGCCCTGACTGGAAATCGAACCAGTGAACTGTGACCTTTTGGTTCATAGGTCAACCCTCAACCACTGAGCGATTCTGGCCAGGCGACGGAATGGCCTTTTGAAGACTCAGTTACAGTGCCAGTTAGCGGGCAAACACTTTCAGGGCTACGCTCTGTCAGTGTCCCGTACGTGGTGCTGCTTCTCTGACGGCCAGGAGTCACAGCTCCAGGGGTCAGGGATGGACACGGGAGAGGCACCACTCACTGTTATCCTTAGTGACCCACTAGCAAAACTTTTGCTGCTTGCTCCTACAACCTTACGCTCTGCTGGCTCAGAGATCTTAGTTGCAAAGGGTGGAATGTTTCTGTCAGGAGATGCAACATAATTCCATTGAACAGGAAGTTAAGACTGCTGCCCAGACACGCTGGGCACCTCATGCCTCTGAATGAACAGGTAAAGAAGTCACTGTGCTGACTGGAGTGACTGACCCTGACTACCAGGGAGGAATGGGACTACTACTCCACAGTGGAGGAGTATGTGTGGAATACGGGAGACCACTGAGCATTCCCATGCCCTGTGAGGAAGGTCAATGGAAAACGACAACAACCCAATCCAGGCAGGACTACTAGTGGGCCTTCAAGAGTGAAGGTTTGTTCACCATCAGGTAAAGAATCGCAAGCAGCCAAGCTGTTTGCTGGAGGGCAAAGGGAATGTGAAATTCGTAGTGGAAAAGGGTAGTTATAAATACCAGATATGTGACCAGGTGAAGAAATGAGGATTGTAATTGTCAAGAGTATTTCCCCCTTATTGTGTTACTAATATCTATAATAATAAAAGCATAATATGCTAATTAGTCAGCACAGCCAGACAACCTTCCGGACGTCCTTCCGGACGACCTTCCGGACGAAGCCGGGGCTGCGAGGGCCGAGGCAGCCCCTGCGGCTGTGAGGGCCAAGACCCTTGCATGAATTTCGTGCATTGGGCCTCTAGTATATAAATATGTAACATATATATCTTTCTTTCTTCTCTCTCATCCCCTTATCATGTAACATAAGATATAAAATGTATTGACTTTATATCACAGTGTTTAAATATTGTTAAGTTTATATCATAGTATTTAAATTATGAGATATCAAGGAGAAGAATAAACACTGAAGGCGTTTGCCTCCTCTTCCGGGGAAGGGTTAGTGAGGTTTGGTTGTACACAGGATAGGAGCATCATGTACGTCAGGTAAAAAGATGATTTTGTTATGTCTCCATTTGAGGATTAAGTATGATTTAAGGAAATGTGTATGAGTGCCAAGTTGGAAAGAGGTGGACTTGTGATGGTTAATTTTATGTGACCACTTGACTGAGCCACGGGATAGACAGATATTTGGTCAAACACTATTCTGGGTGTATCTGTAGGGGTATTTATGGATGATATGGACACTTAAATCTATATTGAGTAACACAGATTGCCCTCCCCAGTGTGGGCAGGCCTCGTCCACTCAGTTGAAGGTCTGAATAGAACAAAAGGCTGACCCTCCCCCAAGTGAGAGAATTCTCCTGCCTGACCTGAAGGTCTTGAAACTGACACATCATCTCTTCCTGGTTCTGCAGCAACTTCCGGTCTTTGGATATGAACTGGGACATCACCTGTATAGATTTGAACTTGCCACACTCCATAATTATCTAAGCCAATTCCTTATAATCTCTCTCTCTCTCTCTCTCCCCCTCTCTCCTATTTATTATGTTTCTCTGGAGAACTTTGACGAATGCAGGGGTGAGATAGGAGAAGACAGCATCAGAATGGTGGGCATCTGAGGGGCAGATGGTTGAGAGCCCTGGTGAGAGGGTGGGAAGGCAGAAAACAAGAGGAGATGGTTTCCAAAAGACGAGGTCTGCCTAGTTCTCTTTGTGGTGCAATTAAACAAACCCATATAAATGTATAACAGGCAAAGTTAGGAGCCACAACACCTTTAAAAAGAGGTGCAAGTGCACTAAAACTGCCAGTTGCCCTAGGCATTTGCTACAGGATTGTATTAGCCCACTAGGATTTTTGCCTGAAACCAGGTGCTCCAAGTCTAGCAAGATGACCAAGGCCCTCTGGGAGCTGTGTAGCAGCCCGGCCCAGATCTCACTCTCACCTCGTACGATGGTGACGTTGCGAAGGATTTCTCCGTGCTGTGTATCCACGGCCTTCATCTCCTCCACGATCATGGACAGGTTGCGGACGTTGAAGTCCAGGCGGGCGCTGAGCAGGCCGAAGCGCTCCCGGAGCAGGTCCGTGGTGCCCAGCATGAGGGAGACGGACTTGTTCAGGTAGTAGAGCTCCTCGGCGTGGGTGTGGAAGCCCAGCGTGCAGGACAGCCGCACGTCGTCCAGGTACTTGAGCATGCTGTGCACGTGGCTGTCGGTGGCATTGATGTTGGTAAAGATGGTGCCAATCTCGATCTCGTGAGAGGCCATGCGTCCTTCCAGCGTCTCGAACCTCTCCACCGTGCGGTTCTGAGCGTAGCGAGTGTGGTACTGCAGGTCGTGCATGTTCTCTTCATGGTCGTCCAGGAAGGACGAGATGTTATCCAGCTGCAGCTGCAGGCCCATGACCTGCATCACCAGGTCATGCATGCTCTCAGAATTCTGGCTGATGCGCTGCGAAGAGGCCCCCAGGGTGGCCTGGATGCTCTTGACCGCTTCTCCGGTCTTGGTCGAGGTGGTGCGCAGGCTGCTGAAGAGCCGGGTGTAGTTCTGCCAGTCGGTGACGATCTTCTGGAGGGTCAGGGTTTCCTCGTCCGTCTTCCGGCGGATCCCGTGGACCCATTCTGAAGTCTGCCCCACGGTGAAGTTGATCTGGTGCACGGCCGCCCGGACGTCATAGCACTCCTGGGCCAGGTCCTTCAGAGAGAGGTCCAGGCCGGCCGTGGTGGCCTGCCAGCCTCGCACCTGCGTCAGGAAGAGCCCCAGAGATTGGTTGAGCTGGTGGATGGAGAAGGAACAGTTGCCCATCTCCTGGGAGATCTGACTGCTGGTGGTGGAGAGCAGCTCATGGGTCTGAGAGGCCTGGTCCAGCTGGACCTCCTGAGCCAGAAGCATCTTCTGAATTCCCTCCAGCTCCTCCTGCAGTTTTCTGATCTCCTGCCCCAGCTGCCCGGCCTCGTGGCAGAAAGAGCAGTTGTTCGGGGCCTTCAGATCTTCAGGAGAAAGAGAGAACATTTCAGTGGCTGAAGGATCATGGGACAAAGGGTGCTTCTTTAAATAAAATATTGCAGAGCACAATGAATTGGCAAGTGGCTGTCCAGTGCCTCTTCCTTTCCTAGGTCCTGCTCTGAAACCCGTTTTGGAAGAGCCTGGCCATCTCTATGAGATCTTACTTGTATCAAACCTCTTTCCTATGACCTGAAATGTAGGATTTAGGTACTTAGGCTTTAGATCTAAATCTCCATCTCGCCACCAAATGCTGGAAAATATATCTTTCTAGCTTTTCTGAGGTTGCCAAGAACCTCCCATTGACATTTTATTTTAAAATTTCTCCAAATATTTTTAGATCTATTATCTCATTTATTTCTCTCACAATAAACTTGAGGAGACGGTGCAAAATTTTTTCTCCTGTAACTGATGAGAAATGAGGCACAGAGAAGTGGCTTGACAAAATATCACTCATTGATCGAGACAGTGGCAGAGCAGGACTTTCTCTCTCCATGACACAGACCACCTCTAACCCCTTCCATGATGGCTCCTTCTGGCTCATTGTCAGCATGAGAAGGTCCCTTGTTAAAGCAGGAGATCAAGAGCATCACGAGCCCTACCTGGTTTGGCTCAGTGGATAGAGTATCAGCCTGCGGACCAAAGGGTCCCAGGTTCGACTCCGGCCAAGGGCATGTACCTTGGTTGCAGGCTCCTCCCCAGCCTGGTCAGGGCTTGTGCAGGAGGCAACCAATCGATGTGTTTCTCTCACGTCGATGTTTCTCTCTGTCTTTCCCTCTCTCTTCCACTCTCCATAAAAAATCAGTGGAAAAAAATATCCTCGAGTGAGGATTAACAAAACAAAACAAAAAAGAGTATCATGAATCATGCACACTTTAGAGTAGTGATGAGGGAAGGGCTGACTTACCAAAAGGCTTTAGAAGGTCTTAAAAATAACTTCAGATGCATGAGGATATTAGGGAAATGAACTGTCTTTCGCTTCCTTCCCTACCACACGCAGAACCTCCAGCCCCGGGGAGCAGCCCTCCTGCAATGGGTGGTTCTCCAGCTGGACAGGGAGCAGGCAGCCATGGCTGTCCTCCCTCCTCCCTTAGGCCTAAGTTGGTGAAGGCTGCCCTGCTCCAGGCACCAAAACATAGAGGCACATGGCGGGGGTCGGGGGGGTGACCATCACCCTACCCCAGTTACCATTCGTTTTCTATCACAGTCAGCACATCTGGACACTGGGCACTTACCAAGGCCCTGGAGATTTTCCTGCATAGACACAAGCTTCTTGTCATAGGTGGCTTGGGCCAGGGAGATGTCTTCGGAGAGAGAGTCTACTTTCCTGAAAACTGTAGGGCAAATACAGGTGAGACACTGGGGCAGGCTGTTGCCTCAGAGAAAGGCGTTTTTATCAGCCCTTCTTCTATGGGGCTTCCCAGGGGCGGTGAGGGAAAATGCTTCCTATGACCAGAGTTTGTCATGCATCTCTTAAAAATACATATCTATGTAACTATTCCTACCTATAGACATATATCTGTTTTTATCTCTCCTTTAAGTTTATATGTTTATGTGTACATATACCTGGCTGTATATACGTATGTCTTAAATGTATGTACATATTATAATGTGTAATATACATAATTACACATATGTGTGTGTGTGTGTGTGTGTGTGTGTGTGTATGTATGTGTATATATATATATATGCTTCTAGTCCCAGATTTGCCTCAAATGTGTTGGGTGACTTTGGGAAAGTTGATTAATCTTTCTGGAGCTCAATTGGGTCATCTGTAAAAAGAAAGCCTGAAGTTAAATGACTTCTAAGGTTGTTATCAGCTCTAAAATGCTGATTCCAAATGCTTGGGAGCCATGGGCTTTGATTAACACTGTGTAGGTCAGAGCTGTCGAGATTTAATTGGTAACAGTGAGAGGCTCCGGGTCCTCTGAGTGATTGTGTGTGTGTGTGTGTGTGTGTGTGTGTGTGTGAGGGCGTGCAGGGTGGGTTCCCTCGGTGCACCCTGAGCGGCCGGGATAGGCTCTGGCCACCCACAGCCCTGGACTGGAATCACTGGGTTGGAAAATAATCTTACTTGTCCTTATTCGTCTTTCTTAAATGTATGTATTGCTCACATTTATTTGAATGTTTAATAGTAGAAGTGTTTTGGGTCTTTATTTAGAAGTTTGATGATACTTTTGTGACCAGAAATATAGTGTAGGAACTTAACTCTTGTTTGTATCAGTTATCTATGGCAAAACTGGTTTCAATATATGTCATTTCGCTTAAAGCCACAGTTTCCAAGAACCTATTGATGACGCTGAGTGAGGACTTACTATCTCTCTAACCAGGGTCGGAACCAGACAGCCCCCTGTTCAGGGTCGGATGCGTGCAGGGCACAGCACCTAGCGTGAGGCACCCTCCGCACCCCGCTGGTCTCATCCGAGTCCCAGCCTTGTCTCTAATGTCTAGTCCATTAGGGCAAACACATGTACTGTTTCCTTAGGAAAGAAGTCTGGATTTTTTAAATCCGAATGCAGTTGCAGTGAAAAGGCATCCCATGTGTTTCCATCAGTTTACCATAAACCGGTAGCACCCAGAGGCGGAAGTTACCTGAGTCTAGCTGTATGCCTCACCTGGGTCAGCTACCACGCACAGAAACCACAGTGTGCCAGGGGCCCACGACCTCCGGGTCCCTGGGCTGCACCTGCGGGACTCTGATGGAGTAAGTCTGGGTGAGACCCAGGAATCTGCACTCCCACAAATACCGCGGTGACCTCGAGGCGGGTAGGCATCCAGCCTCACTTTGAGAAACAGTCACAAAGACCACGGAAGGGGCTTGGAAATCACCTGATCCAGTGACCTCAACTACGGATGTTCGGCAGGCTCATCTGGAAAGCTTAAATATATGAACTAATTACATTACTGGGGTGGGGCCCAGGCATCAGTATTTTTTTAAAGCTCCCAGTGATTCTCACATGGGGCTAACACTGGGAATCACGGATCTCGTCCTAGCCTCTCATTTTATCTCTCAGAAAACGGAGGTGCCAAGAGGGGAAGGGCCTTGCTCCAGATCACACAGCCCATTGCTAACCAGAAAGCAGGAGCCAGTCTTTGCCGTTTGAACCAGGCACGGAGACCCTGGGGTCTGGGCCCTGCCGCAGGGGTCTGCTGGTCTGTGTAGGGGAGTTTGGGTGCTGGAGCCCTGATCAGAAATCCCCTGCAGCCTGGGAGGGCGGAGGGGCGGGGGGAGCCCGGGACTCGCCGGATGCTGCTGGGAGTCTGCACTCACCCAGAGAGGCCAGCACGACCACCGCCACCAAGAGCAGAGCCAGGAAGAGGTAAAGAATCCGCACGGACGTGTGCAAAGACAGGTTCTTCTGGCAGCGGCTGCAGCGGGGTCCCGGCCGGCCTGTCGGGGCACAAAAGAAGGCCAGTGGCTGAGGCTGCAGCTGAAAGGTGAGCTCCGTGTCCCTGCCCTGGCCTGTCTCGTCTCATTTTATTCCATGTTCTAGATCCTCATTCTTTACCATCTCACCGCCTTCCCTCTAGGCCCCAGAGCTTTCAGGAATCGAAGAGACCAGAGCCAGGGTCTTCACAGCACACCCAGCACTACCGTCATTCTACGGCCTCATCATGCAGCCTGGCTGTGGGCAAACACGTCTTCCCATACGTTAGCCCTACTGCGCATCCACAGCCTGCAGCAGCCAGCACACGGTTCACCACTGCGTGACCAACCGTCCCGGTTTGCCTAGGACGTCCCTGGTTTCAGCACCGAAAGCCTCATGTCACGGGAACTCCGCGATAGGGGGTGCACCGGATGGTTTGCCAAGATTGAAAGTTACACCCCCTGGGCAACCCTCTCAGTCCCAGGCAAACCAGAAGGTCGATCGCCAGTCCCCAAACTTCAAGAGTAACCAGCAATTCTTATGGAAACCAAATGAATTCTCCTAGTCTAGCAGGTGGTCCCTAGTACAGAGGAAGGAGAGGACCAGGTATGCCTGGCCACGCTGGCAGGTGGCTAATGCTCAGGGAGAAGGCAGGGATGTCCCAGCTGTGAAGTCTCTAGGGTCCGTTCCATTTCGGCTGCACTTTAGAAATGCCAGGAATGTTTAAAAATCCCCGATGCCTCGTTCACACTCCAGACCAAAAGGCATCCGCGTTTCTGAGGGCCACCCTCAGGCATCCCTGGGCGGTTACAATGTACACACAGCCAAGGTTGAGAAGAGCTGCTCCAATCTATACTGAAACCCACCAAGAAGAGCTCCAGGTAACAACGCAGATGAGCCAAATGCTACGCTGGGTCCTGTGGGCCTGAGGATAGGCTACGTGGGTGGCAGGGGATGCGACGGGGACAGCTCTGTGCCCGCTGAGAGGCAGGCCCTGGGGAAAATGGCAGAGGTCCCCAACCTGGGGGGGGGGGCTGGAGACAGGTGGCACTTGTGTCAAACTCCGTGCTACTCTGCCTTCTTACCGCTGAGGAAGCAGAGGGGAGAAGGACAGCCAGGGTTTTGGAGCCATGGAGGGAGGTGAGTGACCAGCCTGGGGATGGGAGCAAGGAGCACAGAGAAGAGGTCAGAGGGCACCCCCCTCCCCCCCCAGAGCCCTTACCCTCCTGTGTGCACGGGAAGGACGGCATGTCCTCGTCACCAGCCAGCTCCTCTTCTGAAACACACAACGCATCTCCGTCGCCACCAGCCGACCTCACTGTGATGAGCCAAGTGCAGTCAGATGCCAGGCGGGACCCTGTGCCACACCCACCCCTTTCCAGATGCCCCACTCATTACCAATCCCCAGCCCCCGTCCAACCCTCCCCACACACACGCCTGGGTCCAAGTTGGCCCCCTTGAGCTTCAGGTGACCTGACGGTAAGCAGAGAAAACAGGGATAAAGGTAAGAACAGAGTGGCTGAGAAACTGGGATGTCCCCACACATCCAAGTAAAGAGACTCCATGACCTCCCACAAGGTGGAAAGGACACACGGGCCAGTTCAGCTTCCTACACTGTATGCACCTTGCTCAACCCCCTTTCAGTGAAGTGAAAAGAAATCAGAGCCAGTTGCTTGATCTGGCTCAGCGTCCTTCCAACCCAAACACATGGTGACTGAAACAGGTGCATTCCCCCCAACCCGCGCACCACCCCCACACCCCCCAGCCTCCTGCCCTCACGCCCCTTTTTTCAAGGAGCACTAGCTGGGCTGAGACTCAGAATCTTCCACCACAGGTATGGGTGCTGAGCAGTCAGTAGAAGACTGACCAATCAGAAAAGACTGGGGCCAAAACAAACAAACAAAAGCAACCAGAATGGCTGTCGCAGGGTGACAGGGCCTGGGGCAGCACCTTCTAGGGTGGGGGTTTATGCTGGGGTCTTTGGTCCAACGGCCCCATCCCTGCATATGTATTCTGAGAGCAGCCTGCTCAGCCCTGCTTTGTGTCTTAGGCTGCTACCCATCATCCATCCGCCAACAGTTCAGAGGATAACTGCCCGGGAGGGTACCAGGACTGCCTCGCCTGCCTTTCCCATAAACCGGAGCCTCAGGTGGGGCCTCCCAGGAATCCTGGGTGCTTCCTGTGCTCTCTCTGACCCAGATCCTCAGGCTCTCTCATCTCCCGTCCCCCGGCTGTCAGACTTACCGGCCATCTCCGGCCCCCTCGGGGAGGTATTCCTTCCACTCCTTGGAGCAGAACTGCCTTCTAGGCCGTCCTGCCTCATTTCTCATGCCTCCCCACCCCTTGATGGTGCTCCTCTGCCCTCCCTCGTGACTAGGCCTCCTCCCTGTTCTGGCTCTGGGACTAATTTCATCACTTCATTGTTTATAGCCTTTGCAAGAATCTGGGAAGACTTAAATCAAGCAAGGCTGACACCAAGCCGTCAGCAAACACCCCCTTGAAAAGCACACAGCTTTGTTATAACTTTGCTGTCCCTTCGAGAGCCCCCCCAATTGGCAATCATTAGCAAGCGGGAAGTAAAAAAGGCCCCGTTCCGGTACTTTGCAGAGCAGCCCATGGGAAGGGAAATGACAGCTGCCAGGGTGCATCTCAGCTCTCTCTACATGAAGGGTTCACAAGAATTTGGCCCTGTTCCTCTGCTCATGTCTCAGCTCCGTAACTCACAGCCCCCTCAACCCCCCATCCCCAAGGAGCTCTCTTCTCTTTCTAATCCTTTGGACTTCCTGTTCACCAGGGCTGAGCCTCGGGCCTTGGGGACCCCTAACTTACCTATGTCGGGAATGCTATAGCAACTCTCCACTTTCGCCTTGTTTGCTTTAGTGAGAACACAATCCAAAGCAATTGTGAGGCTTTTACAAGCCAAGCTCTTTGTAAGCATGGGCTCATTACATTCACATTACCCCCAGATTGTTCCGGTCAGAGGATGGAGGGAGAAACAGACATAAAGAATTGAGAAAAAGCTTGCCCTGAGGACAGAGTCTATGATTGATTAGACGATGATTGATTAGACAGGAATCTGTTCTCCCCCTTTGCACTGGGCCGAGCAGGCTTGACAGAGACAGGAAAAGAATATTCCTCCCCCTCTCCATCTCCCATGCCCGCCCCTTCCCATGCCTTCTGGGGTGGTCTGACTCAGTGTTGGTTGTACCCGTTTTCTGAAGTGTTTACAGCAGTGGTTCTCAACCTGGGCTGCACATTAGAATCACCTGGGAATCTTTTTAAAATCCTGATTTCTGGGCCTCATCCTCCGGAAATTCTGTTTCTTGGTTACTAATGTTGTGGCCCCACCCCATAACAAAGAAACAGAATCGGGGCATATGCAGGAGGCAACCAATGTGTGTTTCTCTCACATTGATATTTCCCTCTCTCTAAGAATCAATGAAAAAATATCCTCGAGTGAGGAATTTAAAAAAAAAAGTAATCGCATAGGATGGTCTGAACATAAAAAACGCCTAACTAAAAGCGAGTATGGCGGGTGGTCACATCCTAGGTCTGTAGCTTCCTTCACAAAGGTCAGTCGTTACCTTAAGTGGGCCTGTCTATTGTCTTTTTGCATCTAAGATAACATACACTTGGAATGTCAGAGTAATACTCTTCTTTTTTGGACCCCGCAGGACACAGCCAGCACCAGGGCAGAGACCACAGGACCCCTCATTGTCATCTTGTTCCCCACATACCATTTCTATGCGCTGTAATGTTAATTGTTAACTATCCCGTCCCCACAATGTAAGAGAAGTAGGTGTCTCTCTTCACCCAATCTCAGAGATTTCCTCACTTTGCTTTCTCCCACCTCCCTAAACTACCACCAGTGAATTTCATGTAACTCCCTTATGTCTCTTCCTTTGACTCTGATGTATAAAATAAGCTATAAAACTGACATTCTCTGGAGAATTTTCTCAATCTGTTGAGATTTTGCTTCTCGGCATTTGTCATCAGTTTGGCTCCAATAAACTGAAGATCTCTACAGGTTTGGATCTTCCTTATGTCAACGGGCGTGGGCACTTGTAAGTCACAGAACCCACCTGTCATGTTACAAAGGCTCAGAGAGGTTCAGTGACCTGCCAGCTAGTGAGTGGTTCGTACATGTCTGAAGCAAGATGCAAACACACATCCAGAGTGCTTGCAGAATGGCATATACCCAGCTCAGACAGGCCACAGAGCTGGGCAAAGCCCTTCCAACCAGGCCTGGCATCTGTTTACATGTCTGGCCTCCCAGCAGTTTGTCATCTCCTTGAGGTCAGGAAGTCTTCCCTCAGCACAGGGCTGACCACATAGTGGGTGTTCAAAACAGATGGGTTTACTGGCCCTTTGAGAAGGCCTGCATCTTTAGTTAATTGTCAACTTCTGTTGTTTCAATTAAGGGCCAATTTTTATTCAAATATAAACATAAATGATTTAAAATGTGTTTTAAATATGGCTTATTCTTAGAGTTATCCATGGCTAGGGAGTTTTGGGGTGTGCTGATGCATTGAGATGCAAAGGCTTAGAGGAGTAGAGATTTAAAATTAAGCCCTGGTCAGTGTGACTCAGTTGGTTGAGCGTCATCCCATTCACAGTTCGATTCCTGGTCAAGGCACATGCCCAAGTTGTGGTTTTGATCCCTAGGAGGCAGCGGATGTCTCTCTCTCTCTCTCTCTCTCTCTCTCTCTCTCTCCCTTCCTCTCTCTCTCTCTCTAAAATAAAGAAAAACATTATTTAAAAAATAAATTTTAAAAAATTAACACCCAGGGGCCTAATGTTTGCACTGAAAAGGAATGAATGGGGGATGGGGGGAGGTGCAGCAAAATTTAGGATCTGCTTCTCCTCCCTTTCTCAGAACTAGAACAAGGGATGTGATATTCCTCTCCTAAAACTAAAAGTCCTCTTTTGTGTTGTTGTGTGTTGTTTTTTTGTTGTTGTTGTTTTTGTTTGGGGGGGGTTCATTAGTGTCCTAGTTAATTATCTTAGAATACCCCTGGTGTTTTTATGGCCCTCCAAAATAAGGCCCTGGTCCTTCCTGGTGTCACACATAAATTACCCACGGATAACCGAGGACTTCTGACATGCTGAACAGTGAGGGGCACCTGAGTATCAAACATTATGGGTTGCCAGGTGTCTGGAGAAGTCACTGTACTGTAGGCCATGTTTCCAATAGCCTCTGTTGCCTTCTCTCTCTCTTTTTCATTCTTCCTTTTTTCATTTTGCAGATCCCAGATAAAGGCTCTTGTGACAGGAGGGGGTGAGCTTGGGAAAGGACACCGGAGAAGATAGGGTAATGCCTGCACTTGGGGAAAGCCCCTTTCTTGGGACAAAGTGAGGACAAGCTTGGGGCAGCTTGCTGCTCTGGGTAGCAAGTACCCAAGACTCTACAGGCCAGCTTCTGCCTCGCTGCTCCAGAGGCCCCAAGAGGTGTCACTGGGAGCATCCTGGTCCCCGAGGTCAAGAAGCCAGACCCACGAATTACCTACCCCCGACACAGCCAGGGCCCTCTCTTCATCTAGCAATCTCTACCCCAATTACAGGCAGTGTCTTTAAAAAAAAAAAATCCAATCGCCTTCGAAGCCAGCGTGGCACGCTCAGGCTCATAAAGCAGCAGCAACCGCCGGAGATCTGAAAGAGCCTCTGTTCCTCTCCTACCGAAGGTCATAACATCCAACTCAAACACGGGGAGCCGCAGGAGGAACTCCTCATTTTTCAGGCCTCTGCTCCCAGCGCCACGTGGAAGGGTTGACGGAAGGTGCATGTGTTGTTGGCACACTGCGCGGCGTGACTGCTGACTCCGTGGGGGCTGAGCTCGGTTCACTTCTCCTTCGGGAGACGGAAAAGAGCTGGGACCCGTTAACCAACTGCTAACTCAACTGCGGCCCGGCGACTCCAGCTGTCTCTCGGTTGACCGAAAATGTGGACTTCATTCACTCCTCAGCCTTTCTGCCATCTCCCGCGGAGTCAGCAAGGGGGGGGAGATTCGAGGAACTGAATAAAAGGTCTTTTCTTTGGGAACTTCAAGAAACATATTTTGATGATTATCTTCTACAGCGTTCACAGAGTGGGTTTTCAAAACAGCCAATTGGGTCGGTAAAAATAAAGACTTGAGAGCCTTCTCAGGAGCCAATGCTATATTTAACCCTGCAGAATAGCTATAGTCCAAGGTTGCAGAATGCTGTAATTAAGGTTGCAAAATTGTTTGCATTAGAACCCTCCTGCTCTTCCCCCCTCCCCGGAGGCTTCCTCTGTGGGTGCATCTATATTAGGACGGGAATCAGTCTGCCCGTCTGGGCTCTGATGAGTCTGGTCCTTCCCTTTCAAATTCTCCTGCTCAACAAGTTGTCAGGATCGGCTTCCCCGGAACATTGGCCTCCTTTCTGCTCCTTCACCCCTAAACTCCACATCCCATGACCTGGGACAGGCATTTCCTCGCCCCCTGCCCCCTCTGTCTGAACCCGAGCCAGCCCACAGCCTCCCACTGCCTGTGCCTTCCACTCACTGTGTTCCTGGTAACCGCAGAGCTTGTGGGCAAACTCCCCCTCCATCCCAAATGGCTTTCCTCCCCTCCCCTGCCCTCGGTGTTTCTAACCGGAGCACTCGTGGCATTTGGGTGGCACAATTCTTCAGGAGACAGGATTTTCCCACGCCATGCAGACAGTGGCATCCGGCCCCCTAACTGCCAGTGGCAATCCCTGGCCCCTTCGATAACTCCAAGTGGCCACCCCATGACTGAGGACCCCTTCAAGGGGGACTGTGGCCTCTAGTTGAGAAGAGACCCCAGGCTATTCACTCAATGCAACAGACCCCAGCCCTCCCCCATCACACACACACTGATCTCTGTGCAGAGAGCAACTCCCCCACCCCCCTAAACCCTGTAATCTGTGGGATGGGAGGGGTGGGAGGAGTCTTGATGTCTATGGTCACCACTTGAGGCCCATGCTATCTCTCATTTGGGGACTTCTCTTCCCTTCTCCGAGCTTCTCGTGCAAAAACAGAGAATGCCACCTATTTTACAGAGCTGTGGGAAAATTCAATGAGGCGATATACGAAAAGGACCTGCCACATAGTAAGTACTTGAGAAACGGTAGGAACAGTCATTTTTATCAGGATCATTCCGTCCTACGGGAGTTGCTGCTGTCATTCGCCTTCCTTTCCCAATGCCTGTCACGTTCAGGACCCATTTCCAACCTCGAACAAAGCCATTTTCTAAATCACGTCCTGCAGAACACTAGTTCCAAGATA